TAAGCTTGGTAAACTAAATGTACCAAAATGGCTAATGGCCCTAAATATTTTGTTTTTAAAAGTGCAAACGTTTTGTAGTATGCACTGTATCTATTTCTATATATCGTGTTACCAGCTACACAACAACATAATCAGCATGCACAATAACCCCAAACATCATTCTGAAGCCTTGAATATCTGATGAGTCAGTGTGAAATGATGGAAACAGGTACACACATGATTACGTGTAGTTTAGAATATAACCAGGTTCAATGATCACTGGGATTCATGGTCTGTCACCTAACAACTTCCATATGTAATCTGAGGTTTCACCAGCATTTCACCAGCAAAGTGAACAGAGGTGATGTGTAACTATTGATAGAAGTGTGTGTGTGTGGGGGGGAGGGCACAATTTTTAAAGGTTCTGGTGTGAACCCTGGCAGCAGAAGCGATGCATGGGGAGGAGCACACCATATGGCCTTGTGGGCTGCAGCACAGCCGTGTAGTCACTCACTGCACCTTCTTTAGTGCAATGCAGAGCAGCTTCCTAGCACCACACAGCTCAGAGCCAGCTCCTGGCCAGCCCCACCTTTGGCCATAGGCTCCCGGTCCTGCCTGGATTTTGGCCGCAGGATCCCAGACCCCCGGGCTCCATTCCTGGCTCCTTGATGGACTCTGTGAGCTTGGACAAGGCAGCTGGGCCCAGTTCTTAGGACTGCAGGTGCAGCCCCTGCACAGATGCATGCCCGCACTCCTCTGTATAATGGGGGAGACCTGCCTTGCTCCCAGCGGTGCACTGTGGTTTATAAAGTGCTTTGAGACTCTTGGAGAGATGCTGCTGGAGCAGGGCAAGCTAATTGCTGTGCCCTGTGAGCCAGCCTCTGAGGCCATCCATGCTGCACTGAGACCTTCCAGATTTCTGCCAGCCTAGGAGTAGCCCTGGACACCCTTCATTCCTGAGGCAGTGCCCCTCCATCCATTCCCCACCTTCAGCAGGTAGCTCAGGCTATCCAGTGCAGGCTGAGCTCCTGTGCCCTGTCTGTACCCGTGAGCTCTGCATTCAGGGGCACATGCAGGAGGCTGCCCTATCTGGCTGCTGTTGTCTGCGGAAGGGCAGGTGATGGCAGGGGGCACCTCAACCCCAGGATGGCATCGGTGCCACTAGCAGGGAAAGGAAGGAGCCAAGCTGCACTGGACCCTTCACCGTACTGTCCTCAGCTGGGGTTCGGTGTCATCTCCTCTTCCTCCTCTCTGCCAGATCCTCTCTGAGGCTCCTGAGGGTCCCAGTGCAGCCTCCTTAACCCCTTCCTGCTTGCACTTCAGCCGGGAAACAGGTGGTGACTGGACTATGTCGGGGGCCAGCAGCAGCCTGTGTCAGTGGCCAGCAGTGCTGTCTGGGCAGGAAGGGGCGGGACTGCTTCCAGCCGCAGGGGAGGAAGTGGGAAGAGGTAAGCTCTGCAAAGACTCAGACCAGGGGCAGCTCCTGGGCAAGGCAAAGGGAATGATGGGAGCTGCCCTCACTAAATGATTCTGAGCAGAGGCGATGTGTAACTGTTATAGTGGGGAAGGAGGGGAACTATTTAAAGATTCTGGTGTGAGCCCTGGCAGATACGGGGGGGGGACGGGGGGACACATGACCCCGTGGGACGCCCTCACGCATCGCCTCTGAAAGTGAATATGGTGTTGCCTATTCAGTGAGAAAACAGACTATGATATTCAAACTAGATCATATTATAAATGGACATTATGTAATATAACTACTTCTTAAAAGATCTTTTTCATGAAACCTAGGCTGAATAGTGCCATATTATTGAACCATTTGAGATCTCATTCAGTTATATGCAAGGTTAAAACACTAAATCACTGGAGACATGCTACTTAAGTCACAAATAAAATTTGTAAACATGAAATAGTATGATATTAAATGTCATTTTCGCTACTAAATACTAGAGGTACTGAAATCTTAATTTTGATACAAAGCTGGACAGAAAAATTAGAAATATTAGAAATATTTAAAATCCGTTACAGTGTTTTCTATCTTGGGTAATAGCTTTTATACAACGAGATAATTAAATAAGAAAATTCCAAATATTTTAATTAATTTGAGCACAGCATGGTCTGATAATACACTCTGTGTTTTGTTAGACTTTACTGATGATGCATAATAGGGAAGTTATTACAGTTGCATGTGATAGAACCTAAGTTCCTTCTAAGCTGCGTGGCTGCGCAGCAGGTTATCAAGGGCTGTGCAGGTGGGGAGAGGTGCCTCTCCCCCAGCCCCAGAGCACTCGCAGCCGGGGAAAGGCGCCTCTCCACTGGCCCCAGCCCCAGAGCTGCTGTGTCCGGGGACAGGCTCCTCTCCCCTGGCTCTGCACCGGAGCTGCCACGGCCAGGTAGAGGTGTTCTTCTCTGGGCTGCTGTGGTGAGAGAGGGCTGGTGGGAGTCCTCTCTCCCCACCACAGCCCCAGGGCAGCCTGCACCCCAAGCCACTCGCCCCCCCCAGAGCCCGCAATCCCAGCTGGAGCCTTCAGTCCTTGCACCCCAACCCTTTGCCCCAGTCCTGAGCTCTCTCCTGCATCCTGACCCCCTCATCCCTGCCCCCCCCCCGAGCCCTCATCCTCGGCTCCACCCCAGAGCCCACACCCCCAGCCAGAGCCTTCACCCCCTGCACCCTAGCCCTCTCCCCCAGCCCTGAGCCCCCTCCCATACTCTGAACCCCTCGGCCCCACCGCGCCACACATCACCTCCATATTGGTGCACATAGCAAAATTCATTCTGCACATAGATGTAAAAAATTAGAGGGAACATTGGATAGAACTTGTTTATACCTTGTTATAAACCTAGGAAATGACAATAGTTAAAAACTACGTCAAAAGAACATTGTTTAGGTTAAAAAACCATGCACTCAAAAGTTAGGAAATGCCAGAATTTAGGTTGCCAGTGTCATTTTGCTGGTGTGTGTGTGTGTGTGTGTTTGCATTATGATACAATCTTTAATTACATGATCACATGCTGTTTTTTCCATGAGACCCTGACCTGATTCAGTGTACAGGATGAATAGTGCACAGAGAATAAATCAGGATTGTATGGCGCATAAAGCTGCTTTTAGGATCCCTACTTTATTTGCTCTAGAAGTTGGAATATGTGTAGAGAACAGGGTAGGGGGATGGCAGGAAGTGAGAATGGTCTTGTGGGTAAGGCAGGGGAATGCCACAGTCCTATGCCTCTCTCCCCCACCATCTTCCTATCTGGTGCAGAGCTACTCTTTTAAACTTAAATGTTGTTGGTGGCCTCTAATTGCATATTCCTTACTTTCTGGATGCCTGACTTGAAACACCTGGGGTTGGTAATGTAGCCATGTTGAGCACTGAAAAGAATAAGTGTAGTCAATGGGAGCTGTAGATGCTGAAAACTTCTGTCAATAAGGCACTGTTGGGTGAAGGAATGAGCCCAGGATTAGTATTTATGAGATCCTGAGTTCTAATCCTGGCTCTGCCACTGACTTACTGTGTGTCCTCAGACAAGTCTTGGTCTCAGTTTCTTCATCGGTAAAATGGGGATAATAATGCTCTCATCTACAGCAGGAATAAATCCATTAATGTTTGTGAAGCATTCAGATACTATGATGATAAGTGCTCTAAAAAAAAGGCCAGGAAAAAATGGATAATTCTGTATTCAGTACAGGATTTGGATGGTGTGTAGTAAATAAGGCGAAGGACACTAACTGAATGATGAAGAGATAACATTCTTTTAATGTAGTTTTTATGTATGTAACATTTGAGTTTGCTGACTGCATGAAATCTTCAGTGTTTCCAGACGCTACCTTTAAAAGAGATGCTAGTTGGTAATAAAACTGATGCATATGACTGTTGTCTATGCCTGTGGGGGATTGTGGTTTTTGGAGTCATGAAACATAGTTGTAGCTAACTTCCAAAAAAACTGGCTGTTTTCTATGATACATGATATAAACTGCTGCTTACTTGTTCCTTCTTTATGACCAAAAAAAAGAAAACACATTTTTTCTAGTGTAATTAATTTTGAAGCATTATTTAAATGCAAGTTCTATTTTCTTTGTTTCAAGCATTAGCATTACAAGTGGTTTTACACTGCAGAACTGAAGTATCTGAGGACACTGTCAATCCATTGGTTAGCAGCTTAGGCAGAACATTCTGAGGTTAATCTTTCGAAAACAGTACTGGAGGTGAGCCTATTAATACAGATCCTTGTCACCAGCTTGGCATATGGATGTATCCTCTACCAATTGGGTGTACGTTCTCTGTATTAAGTATGGTATTAGAAATGCAGTGGTGTCAACAACATTGAATACAAGTATACTGTTTACATAATTTTAACATTAGGATTTAATGTAACAAAACCAGAAAGTTCTTAAATAAGTTGTTTCATACTTTACTCATTATGTTGGGCCTTAATTCTTTTTAGAAATTGTAGAAGAAAAGGAAAACAAAATGTGTCTAGAACACCTTAGAAAGCAAATTGCTTGCCAGTAGAACAGGGAAGGAAGCATGCAGATAAAACAATATTTAGGCTTTTTATTTTTGCACATAATTCATACTTAGTCATTTGGTGTCATTAAAAATCCACACGTGTCTGAAAGGCACCTTCTGATCCATCACACTCCATTAAGTAAATAATCATTTAGGATGTAGGTAGCCTCATGACATTCATTTGATCATTAGCTGGTAGCTTTTCCAAAATGTGGTGGTGGCATTTTTAATTTACTCCTTTCTGCCTGCCCCCAAAATACCTAAAGAGATTAGAGCTGACATGAACTGACCTAATTTCTTAAATTGTTTTTTTCTTTGCAAATATTGTGCAATATTAAACAAATACTGTGGCTATGTCCTTAAAAGTGTTTTTTTCCTGCTAGTACATTACCTCTAGACATTACTTTCTACCTTTTTAATGCTGAGTAATGTAAAAAAGGAAGACTGGATATAACAATCTCAAGCCCAAATGACCTAATGATTTAACCATGGTTTGTTCTTTTGGTCTCTTGACAGGTCAGTTTTCCTGTGGAAATAAGCACTGTGATGAGAAAGAAGCACTGAAAAGCTGGGAGGTGAATTTTGGGTACATGGAATATGGTGAAAAGAGGAATGCGCTTGTGAAATTGAGTAAGTCAGCCCCTTCCTATGGTTGGGCTTCAAGCTTATGTAAATACAAATGAAGACTAATATCTTACTATTTAATGATATAATGAAAAACCTAGAAATGGTAGTCATGCTTAGGACAGTAGGCAAGGGGGAAAATAAGTTGTTCATGATACTTTTGGTTGGACTAGTTACAAATATAATAATGGCTGTGCTTTAGGGAAATCTCTCTCTTTCCATCAGTACAACCTGTGATTGCTTTATTGTCTGAACACTTCTTGCTCTCTAGTTTTTAATGCTATAGATTGTTCTAGTGGTATTGTTGTAACACAGCTTCTTCATTTGTTTTTTTTAAATAGGAAGACTGAACGGCATACATGAAGTTTCAGCACAGCTCATGCTAACCAATTCTGTGGTTAAATAGTCTTTAGGGCTGTAAAACACCTTTTTCAAGAATTAAATTCACTTAATTTTATTTTTAATAGTGACATTTTTTTAATGTTAAAATTAGTATACCTGATTTCCTTCTTGGACAAGGTTACTGGGCTAGTGGAGGCAGGGGAAACAGTAGATGTTGTAATCATGATTTTAGTAAGGTTTTTGACACAGTCCCACATGACATTCTCATAAGCAAACTGGGCAAATGTGATCTTGATGTAATTACCATAAGGTGGATGCACTACTGGTTGAAAGAATATACTCAAAAAAGTAGTTATTAGTGGTTCGCTGTCAAACTGGGAGGGCCTATCTAGTGGGGTTCTGCAGGGTCAGTCCTGGAACCAGTACTATTCAATATTTTCATTAATGACTTGGATAATGGAGTGGAGAGTATGCTTATAAAATTTGCAAATAATACAAAGATGAGGCTTGTGTGCACTTTGGAGGCCAAGATTAGAATTCAAAACTACCTTGACAAATTGGAGAATTGGTCTGAAATCAACCAGATGAAATTCAATAAAGACATGTGCAAAGTAAAACACTTGGCAAGAAAAAATAAAATGGGGAATAATTGGCTATGCGGTAGTACTGCTGAAAAGGATCTGGGAGTTATAGTGGACCACAAGTTGAATGAGCTAAAAATGTGATGCGGTTTCAAAAAGGGGATAATATCTTTCTGGGGTCTATTAACAGGACTGTTGTATGTAAGACATGGGAGGTAGTTTTGCTGCTCTATTCAGCACTGGTGAGGCCTCGGTTGGAGTACTGTATCCAGTTCTGGGCACCACACTTTAGGAAAGATGTGGACAAATCAGAAAGAGTCCAGAGGAGAGCAAGTTTAGAAACTGTGACCTAAGAGGAAAAGTTAAAAAGACTTGGCATGTTTAGTCTATAGAAAAGAATACTGGAGGGGGATCTTTCAAGTCTTTAGATATGTTAAGGGTTCTTATAAAGAGAACTGTGATCAATTGTTCTCCATATATGCTGAAGGTAGGACAAGAAACAGTGGGCTTAATCTGCAGCAAGGGAAATTTAGGTTAGATATTAGGAAAAACTTTGTAACTAGAAGGGTAGATAAGCTCTAGAATGGGCTTCCAAGGGAGGTTGTGGAATTCGCATCATTGGAGGTTTTAAAGAACAAGTTGGACAACTGCCAACTGGTTGGTCTATGGCCTCTCAAAGTCCCTTCCAGCCCATTTCTATGATTCTGTGATTTTTCCCAGAAAATCTTTAACTGCACTAAGGATAATTCCCATACCGCTAATTCTCATCTATTAAGTCCGATCTTACTGAATATGTGTGCATAACCGTATATGGATACATACAATAAATAATTAAGCTTTTTGTTGTAAATAGTGTGAGAGAAAGGGGTGGGTTTTTTTTAATCTTTCTTTTCTTGACTATGGGTCCATCTATACAATAATACTTGCTCTGTGGTGAGGCCTTGGTAGTGTGTATGTTTCTCTTAATATGGTCATAATGTGGTTTGATCCTGCCCACAAAAGCACATCCAAATCATGATCCCCAGAAACAATAAATGCTACTTATTTTTTGTGAACAGTAGTCAATGCTGAGTCTCTCATCTTCCTTCAAAGTGATTCGATACTTTGGAGTCATACTGACAGTTGTATCACATACTATTTTTCCCTTTTTTGAACCCTGGTTATAGCTACATTAGAATTTTTCTGTTGTAGTAAAAATTAGTGAAATCGAAAGAAATTTATAAAGATAGGGATAACAATATTGATAATAATTATTAAGTATTTCTACTGAATATGACATTTGTATGTTCAAATTGTCTTTGTCTTTCTCCCCCACCCCAGGACTGTGTCCACAATGTTCCTGCAAATTAAATTTTCATCACAGGTAATGGAGCCTTTTGAAAAATTAAATAATAAATCTATTACGATTAAATTTATAAGAAAGCTTGGAAGAATGCTTAAAAAATTACTGTAACTTTTGTTTATACTGACTTATCATTTTAATGAAATTGATACTCTAGCATTGCTAACAATATATTTTTGTGCTAATGAAATTCATAATAAAAGTTGCAACTCAAATTGTAACATTTCTTTTCATTTGCTCATACTTATCTCAAATTTGCCTTTTAGACTGAACTTTCCATGCTAGATTTTAGCCCAAAGATTAGTTTTTGGGAAGCTTATGCAAAATCTGCCTAGTGATTTTTTTGACTTAGGCAAGCAGGAAAAATGTTTATGCTTTTCCTATTTAAAAAAATTGTTATGGGGGTGAGAGTGGAGCTACAGCTGGGCCGCAGTGGAGCCCGGCAGCCGGGCCTGTAGGTGAGTGCGGCTCCACTCCCGCTCACATCCCCAGCCTCAGCCCTGGGCCGGGAATGGAGCTGCAGCCAGGAGCTGAGGCTGGGGGTGGGGGCGAGGGCGGGGCCAGGAGCATAGCTGAGGTGCAGCCAGGTTGCAGTCGGGGCTTGGGCCTGGGCCGCGGTGGGGGCTGGCAGCCGGGCCCCTGGCTGGTTGCAAGGCTGTGCTGAGGGCCGGCAGACAGGCCCCCGGCCAGGAGCCGCATTAAGGCTGGGAGCCAGGGCCATGGATGTGGGCAGGGTCGGAGCAGAGCTAGGGGTGAGGCAGGGCTGGGTGGCACTCCCTCCTCCCCCCACCCCCGCCCCGGTGGGGGCTGGCCCAGGCCCCCCCCCCCGAATGTTCCTCTACACCCCCCCTAGGGGGTCACGCCCCACATTTGGGGGACCTCTGGTCAATGGGATTGGCGCATTCTTCATGCGGTCTATCCAGTGGCCCTTCATTTAGCAGGGGAGAGCAATGTGTTGGCAGATCATCTCAGCAGAGACCATTTTCAGATGTATGTGAAGTCTCTGAAGGACCAGGTAGTACAGAGATTTTCTCCAGATGGGGTCAGCCCAGTACAGACCTGTTTGTGATCAGGTTCAACAAAAAGTGTCATCTTCTATTTTGTTCCAGAGCAGGAAAGGAGAGTCAGTCTATCTCGGATGATTTTTTTGGGGAGAGGACCTTCTGTATACTTCCATTTTCATTAATTCAGAAGGTGGTGAGGAAGATAAAACAGGTCAGGGCAAAGGTGATCTCAGTTGCGCCAGTTTGACTGAGAGAGCAGTGGTACATGGACCTTCGTCAGCTGTTAGAGGGAGACCGCAAACTGCTTCCCTTGTCTCCAGATCTGTTGCTGCAGCAGCATGGCTGGATTCTTTATCCTGATCCTCAGTCTCTCCATTCCTGGGCACTTGGGATTTGATGAATGTAGAACAATCTTGTTCCTTGTTGGTTCAAAATGTATTACTTAATTCTAGAAAGCAAGTAGTGAAAGCAAAGTTATTATTTGAAATGCGTTAGATTTGTTTTTTGGTTGCAAGGCAAATCTGTCTCACCAGTTACAGCTTGTATTCTGGGTGTATTGGAGTATTTGATGTATTTAAAGTTTGAGTGATTATCTAATTCTTCTTTAAGAGTTCATTTGGTGGCTCTTTCATTTTATCATGTTTTGGTCAATGGTAGATCATTGTGCATGGTATGAAGGGTTTTCCAACTTGTATCCTCTTTGAGAGATCTGGTGTCACCATGGGATCTTAATTTGGTTTTATCTATGCTTACGAAGCTGCCTTTTGAACCCTTGGCAGAGGGTTCTTTCTTTCTTTTTTTAATCTCTTAAACTGTGTTTATTATTGCTATAACATCATTCAGAAGAAAGAGTGAATTACATGCCTTGATAGCAGGGTTATCATAAAGAAAGGTGGTTCTTATGCCTGATCCCAGGTTTTTACTGAAAATAATATCTGAGTTTCAAATCAGTCAGATAATTAATTTACCAGTATATTTTTCAAAGCCACATGCTAATAAAGGAGAATCTGTGTAACATACTTTAGATGCTAGAAGAGTTTTAACTAGGGCTGTCAAGTGATTAAAAAATTAATCCTGATTAATCGCGTGATTAAAAAAATTAATCCTGATTAATCATGCTGTTAATAATAGAATACTATTTATTTAAATATTTTTGGATGTTTTCTACGTTTTCAAATATATTGATTTCAATAACAACACAGAATACAAAGTGTACAGTGCTTACTTTATTTTTTATTACAAATATTTGCACTATAAAAAACAAAAGAAATATTATTTTTCAATTCACCTAATACAAGTACTGTGGTGCAATCTCTTTGTCATGAAAGGTCAATTTACAAATGTAGAATTACGTACAAAATAACCCTCCATTCAAAAATAAAAAAATGTAAAACTTTAGAGCCTACAAGTCCAATCAGTCCTACTTCTTTTTCAGCCAATCACTCAGACAAACAAGTTTGTTTACATTTGCAGAAAATAATGCTGCCCGCTTCTTGTTTACAATGTCACCTGAAAGTGAGAACAGGCATTTGCATGGCACTGTTGTAGCCGGAGTTGCAAGATATTTACATGCTAGATGTGCTAAAGATTCATATGTCCCTTCATGCTTCAACCACCATTCCAGAGGAAATGTGTCCATGCTGATGACAGCTTCTGCTGTGCGGAAGTGATGCGGTGCGGATTGATGCAAGTTTATTTTCATCATCTGAGTCAGATGCCACCAGCAGAAGGTTGATTTTATTTTTTGGTGGTTTGGGTTCTGTAGTTTCCACATTAGAGTGTTGCTCTTTTAAGACTTCTGAAAGCATGCTCCACATCTCATCCGTCTCTTGGAAGGCACTTCAGATTCTTAAATCTTGGGTTGAGGGCTGTAGCTATCTTTAGAAATTTCACACTGGTACCTTCTTTGCGTTTTGTCAAATTTGCAGTGAAAGTGTTCTTAAAATGAACAACATGTGCTTGTCATCATCTGAGACTTTCTATAACATGAAATATATTGCAGAATGTGGGTAAAACTGAGCAGTAGACATACAATTCTCCCCCAAGGAGTTCAGTCACAAATTTAATTCACGTATTTTTTTTTAACAAGCGTCATCTCCATGGAAGCATGTCCTCTGGAATGATGGCTGAAGCATGAAGAGGCATATGAATCTTTAGTGCATCTGGCATGTAAATATTTTGCAATGCCAGCTACAACAGTGCCATGCGAACGCCTGTTCTCACTTTCAGGTGACACTCTAAACAAGAAGTGGGCAGCATTATCTTCTGCAAATGTAACCAAACTTGTTTCTCTTCCGATTGGCTGAATGAGAAGTAGGACTGAGTGGACTTGTAGGCTCTAAAGTTTTGCATTGTTTTGTTTTTGAGTGCAGTTATGTAACACAATAAACTATATTTGTAAATTCAACTTTCATTACAGAGATTGCACTACAGTACTTGTATGAGGTGAATTGAAAAATACTACTTTTGTTTATAATTTTTAAGTGCAAATATTTGTAAGCAAAAATAATATAAAATGAGAACTGTACACTTTGTATTCTGTGTTGTAATTGAAATCAATATATTTGAAAATGTAGAAAAACATCACAAATATTTAATAAATTTCAGTTGGTATTCTATTGTTTAACAGTGCGATTAATCACGATTAATTTTTTAATTGCAATTAATTTTTTTTTTAAATTAAAAAAGTTAATCACGTGAGTTAACTGCAATTAATCGGCAGCCCTAGTTTTAACATATTATTTAAATAAACTAAAGATTTTTGAAAGTCTTTTAGGTTATTTGTTTTGTATGCTAAGAATCATATGGGTTTTAGTGTATCTGCTATTTCCAAACGGATTAAATAATGTATCTTTGAATGTGACAAATTAGCAGCAGTGTCTGTGCCTACTGTTGTGAGATTTCTTTCTGCTAGGGCAGTGGCAGCATCTTTTGCTTGTCTTAAATGTTTCCCTGTTGTGGAAATCTGTAAGGCTCCTACTTGGAAGTCAGACCATATGACTAGTAAACATTATGCTTTGTATTTGACTTCAAGAGCAGATGCTAGATTAGATGGAATAGTGCCTCAATCATTGTTTAATTAGGACTCTGTCCCCTTCTCCTGAGTTTTCAGCACTGCTTGCCAGACTACCCTTAAGTGGCAATATGCAGAACCACTCAAAGAAGAAATGAAGGTTACTTGTAACTGGAATTCTTGAGATGACTCTATGTTCACTCATCCTGGCCACCTTCCCCTCTTTCTCAGAGTCCTATCTTGGTTTCTCTCAGTTGTGGTAGAAGGAACTGAGGCAGGAGAGGGGTCAACGCCCCCTTATATAGTGTTTCCCTTAATCAGTGTTTGAAGACGCTGAGGGAAGAGGTAGGAGGGGGCGCACATGGTCTCTAATGGGCACTAGAAGAAGGTTCTACCATTAGGATGCAATGGTCGGTGCATTACCCATAAGTGTGAATATACAATCATTGCAAAGAACTCCATGTATAAGTAACCAACCTTCATTTTAGCATTTCCTGCCTTTTTGTGTTCAGATGTACAGCGTTAAGGTAACAGTAATATTTTTTGCATTAGACATACATTTTAAATGTTTAATCTGTAATAAACAAATGTTGGAAGTAGTATATCTTTTGACTGGGCTTGATTTCTGATATGTTTTCTGTTGCTTGAAGAGTACATTTGCAGAACTTATGCATTCATTTTTTATTATAAAGGAGGAGAGAAGTCAAACCAAACAAGAAAAGACAGAGAACAGAACGAAACTCTGAAGAACCCAAAAGTAAGAAGTCAAGATTATCTCATTCAGAAAAACGCAGATCTAAGAGAAATAAACAGAAAGGTAAAATACGTTTTTAAACTGTCTCTATTTTTAAATATTAAATACATATATTGAGTGTTTAACCCTATCAAAGTGAGAGATACATTTATGTTTCTGGATTTCAATGGCTCACTAACTGGATTGTCAAGGGAAAGAGAAAGGGGATGAATTTCTAATGATTCATAGACAGGAAGAGCCTCCAGAGTAATATACTATTTGAAGAAAGAATTGTGCAAACAAAGGGAAGCAGCATTCCAAAAAGAGTGCTGAAGTGTTTGGTTCCATGTGGCTCTGGGGTTGCAAGCCTTTTGGTAACCTAAGATAACCTTTTTGACATCACAGATACGGGGATAACATATGTTACCTCAAACTGATGACCTTATATTTTGTAGAAAAATAATCCCTTTTTCTTAAATGTTTGCCTTATTTTGTGTGTGTGTGTGTGTGTGTGTGTGTGTGTGTGTGTGTGTGTGTGTGTGTGTGTGTGTGAGTATTTAGTTAGGTAGGTAAGTGTACGT